GGTGTGGGGGTCCGGGGGGAGCGGGAGGACACACGGACCCTCCCGAAAGCCCCCCCGACCGTAACACCCCAGCAACCCACCCCCCTCTCTGTCCCAGCACCCACCGTGGGGGGCACAGAGCAGCCCCTCTCCCCCTTGCACCCCAACACCCCCCTTCCCTCCCTCAGCAGCTCTCTGCTCCTCTCACCAACAGCATAATTGGGTAATTAGCAGTAATTAGCCTGACTGGGTGGAGATAAGCCACATGGGGAACCGCAGCCAGGCTGGGAACCCCAGCAGTGCCGAGCACCCCATCCCGGGCTGCAGGTCCCTGGCGGGGGAGGGCAGGCTGCAGAGCTCCCCCGGGGACCCAGTGGCACCCCAAAGTGCTTCAGCCCCAGGGGGGGCTGGGGGGGAGCCCTGCCCCATGGTGCGTTTGGGGTTGGGGGGGAAGCCCCACAAGCTACCTCACCTTCCCTGCTCTACCCCCGGGCAGAAACAGTCCCCCCCCAACAGGGTACCAAGGGTGGGTTTGGGGTTCACGGACAAAACAATGTTTAATTGTTCCAGCCGCGCAGCCCTGACTCCCCCAAGCGCCGGCTGCCAACACGGCACAGCCGGCCCACAGACCCACGCTGGGAACAACACCCGCATTCAGCCCCAGCTCCCCGTGCCCAGAGGGGGAACACCCCCCCCATGTGTCCTTGTGCATGTGAGGAGACAGCAGCCATGAGCAGGGGGTGCTCCCTGGCTGGGATGGGTCCCCCCACCCCACTCCCAGCCTCTCGTGAGCCCCACAGCCTGTGCAAAGTGAGGGGTCCCATACAACGGCCGGACCACCCGCCCCCAAAGCCGCTGCCGTGACCCAGGGGATGGTCCCGTGGGAGGCCTCTGTCTAGTCCTGGGGGTCAGCCCCAGGCTCATGTCAGGCAGCAGCCGCTGGATCTGCTGGAGTTGTCCACCCCGTTGAGCTCCTCAATGATCTTCGTGAAAATCCTCCAGGTCACCTGGGGACAAGGGGGTGTCAGCTCTGTCACGCCGGTGACCCTGCTTCCAGCCCTGGGTGGGGTACGTCCCCCTGCCCGCCCCACACCTGCCTCTCCTTGGCCGAGGCCTCCAGGAAAATGGCCCCCCACGACTCCACCAGCTTCTTCCCTTCATCCATCTTCACCTCCCAGCTGGAGACACCACAGAGGACAGGCCTTCAGGTGGGGACAGGGACCCTCAGAGCCCTCCTTACCTCCGCAGGGACAGGTCCACCTTGTTCCCTGTCCGCACCACGGGCATGTTGTGGGCATGGGGAGGGTGAGGGACACCCCCCGATCCCCCGGGCCTTCTTCCTCCCCAGGAGAGACAGCACCTTCCACATCTTCCACGTTTTCCCCTGGCTCTCAGGGTCTTGTTCTGAAGGGTCTTCACCACTGGTTTCTCACAGGGGAAAGGGAGGAATTCTGGGCACTGCCCCCCCACCAGAACCTTCCCCCTCAGGTGGGCCCAGCCCCGAGAGAGTGGGGACATCCCAGCAGGGTCCCTCACCTCTGCAAGGAGGTCACCAAGTCCACCAGGACATAGCTGTGGATGCTGATGACAAAGGAGTGGAGCAGGGTGGTGTCATCCTGGGGGAGGGAAGGATCAGTGCCAGGGATGGCTCTGGGGCCAGCAGCCCCTCACCCCCCTCCTGCCCCCAGCATTACCTGCCCGGCTGTGCCCACCAGCTGGAACTCATCCTTGCCCACCACCACCGTCTTGTTGGAGGCTGCAGAGGTGGCACCAGGTAAACGGGGACCTGCCCTGGGGATGAGCCTTCCCTCCAGGCGCCTCCAGGGGTGTCTCAGACCCTGGCACCAGGCTTTGGGGATGCGGGGATGTGCCTGTCCTCATCCCCTGTGACCTCATGGAGGCAGCAGGAAGTGGGGACCGGTGCAGGCAGCCTTCCCTCCCCACCCCGGCACTTACTGCTCTCACTTTAGGCTCGTAGCAGTCCACCAACTTCCCCTCCACGAACAGGGAGGTTTTGCCGTCGGGGGGAGAAGGGCAGAGCTGGGGGGCAGGGTCCCGGCATCACTGTGGAGCTGGAGAAGAACCCCTCTCGGGGGAGAATGCAGGGGACCGGGCCCCGGGGTGACGGCTGCTCCCGGGGTGGGCGTCCGGCCCGAGCACGGCCTCACAGCCCCCCCCCAGGGTGAGGACCCGCCGTGCTCTGAGGCCACGACGGTGGGAAGCATCCACAGGGGACCCGGCACAGCCCCCCCCGACCTGTGGGGCAGCCCCACTCCCACGCACCACCGGGGGTAGCGCCGCCCCAGAGCCGCATAGGGCCGAGGAACGCAGCCCCTTCCCCCGCTGAGCCCCCCCGCACCGATCCGCAGCACGGTACCCGAGGACTCGCGGTGTCGATGCGGGCGGGCGCGGCACACGGCGCTATAAAAGCGCCCGCCGTGGCGGGAGGGGGCGGTGCCGCCGCCACTACATCGGCAGCGCCACGTGACCACAACACCGCCCGCCCTCCCGCTCCCATTGGCCGCGCGCGCGGCGGCGCAGGCGCACTGCCCGCCGGGGCTCCATTCATGAAAAACGGAGGGCACGGCCCTCCACGTGGTGGCCGCGCACCTGA